TTCTAGGCATAGGCAAGCTAGGCGGTCAGCTAGGGCGCCACCAACAGGAGGGGGCGCCAATGAGCGCACATACTGGCGCTACATTTTAGCAGGGTTTGGATAATGAGTGGCACGGTACACTCTAAAAAAAATGCTGGGTTAAAAACAACCCAGCTTGGGTTATTTGGCAACCCAGCGCTGGGTAAATATTGGACAGAACACATGCTGGGTTATTTTGACCCAGCTGGTTGGGTTAAACGTTTTACCCACTGTGCTGGGATGTTTTATTTAAGTCATCTATTGTTTAAAAATTATTATATTGCTGGCTTAAAATGGGCTGGAAATTAAAAATCACACAGAATTACTATAGGCAACTGCAATAATCAAAAAATGAACATTTATTATTAAGCAAGAACACCCATGGACAAAATACAAGACAAATTTAATTTATTTGGGTGAATACAGCATAGTTTACAATATTACATACATTTAAACTAGTTTAACAAGCATTTTAGAGATAAAAAGGCACATTTAAAAGTAGCATTTTAATTTAAGTGTATTTAACCGTTCTCTGTAATCACTCTTTTACCGAAATAGTGCTAATTCTCGTGCCGGTGTGTTACCGAAATCTGAGGGCTGCTGTTCGCGGCCTCACGTTTCACTCGTAGCTGAAAGATGCTGCGACTGACTCCAAAACCTGCCCATAAACAAACAGTACTGAGATTAGAGAACATATTTTAACCTCAAATTAAATAAAACTCAGTATAACGAATAAAATCCATTTATGTAATGCGAGGCAAAAGGCGTTTCCATCATGCGGAATTACCGCTGCTGACGCAGCTGACTGACATGATCTCGTCTTTATGTTGCGTAAAATAATATAATATAATATAATTTTAACATTAAAGACTTTATAAATTAAGTAAAATGTATACAAACCTTTATTTCCCAGAAAGAGTGCACCAAATCGGCAGTGGTAGCGGCCGCTCTCTCCTGTAGTGGACTCAAAAAGCCCGCGCTCTGACTGTAACTCAGCAGCTGGGTTGTTTCATCGGAGACGAGCTCAACCCAGCGGTTGGGTAGAAAAAAAATAACCCAGCGTTAAAAATGACCCAGCAACTTAGTTACGGAAAAACTACCCAGCACCTGGGTAAAAATATTAAAAATAACCCAATAAAATGACACAACAAGCTGAACCCAGCATTTGGGTTAAAAAAATAACCCAGCACCTGGGTAAAAATATTAAAAATAACCCAATAAAATGACACAACAAGCTGAACCCAGCATTTGGGTTAAAAAAATAACCCAGCACCTGGGTAAAAATATTAAAAACAACCCAATAAAATGACCCAACAGGCTGAACCCAGCATTTGGGTTAAAAAAATAACCCAGCATTTTTTAGTGTATGATTGCTGCCCCCCACTGGATCCCCCAACATCATTGGGCTAGAGTACTGTCATTCTGATGATGCCTGTATGCCATTGGATCAGGGTGCTGTCAATTGCTGCCTGATTGTTGCATGCAAAGTTTGCATTTGGAGCGCAATGCCATTAGTTCAATGGGTTCTGTCAGTGCTTTGGCAAGGTAAGGCTTTTTTTGCCATGCAATAAAGCTTAGTTCAAATGGCAATTTAAAATGCTGGTACAGTAAAAAGTGCACAAAATCAGTATTTTGTTTGGGCAGTATTTGTAGCAGTCGAGAAATCATGTTATGAAATTGGTCCAAAAGGTGTGCGTTTTTTCGCCCAATGCATTGTTTAAGGATCAGTGTCGTGTAATATTCCCAACAAACTTTAACAGCCAATAAAAAATTATTGGTGTAGTAAAATTCGCGAATTCACAAGATCAATACATCCTTTGTTAAACTGCTTTGTCAAATTTAACGCATCCTTACGGAAGTGTCGAAATGCTGAATCAATTCATTCACTTCTAACAGCGCTTAATAGGAGCAGCGTCATGCACATAGAGGGCAGAGCGTCACATTATTTAAAGGGGAAGTTCATGCATCAAAGTGTAACAAAGGAACAAGTAGCTGCATTCTGATTACTTTTATGCCACTGATCAGGCTTTTCTATGTTGGGCGCTAATAGGGATTTCACCTAGGGCATCAAAATGGCTAGAAACGGCCCTGATGGGAAGATAAAATATGGCCAAGACACTCTAAAATGAAACTAACTAGAAGTACAAACAAGAATGAGTTAAAGGGCACCTATTATGCCCCTTTTTACAAGAAGTAATATGTCTCAGGTGTCCCAAGAATGTGTCTGTGAAGTTTCAGCTCAAAATACCACACAGATCATTTGTCATATAATTTTGAAAATGCCTATTTTTCTTTGCACGTCTCTATAAATGAGAATGAGCTGCTGCTCCCCGCCCCTTTTCCAGAATAGGGCTGTGCATTTACAGCTCGTACCTCAGATACTCTGCCAAAAAACAACGGTTTGGTTTTGATTATCATGTCTGTCGCACTGAAATCACGCGTTTTAAAGCCATATCAGTTTACACTTCTGATATAAGGTTTTTTGTGTGCACACATCCAAAGCACACGCACAGAAAAGCGGCTGTCACACAGCATGTGAGTACTAAACTAAGTTCTCTCTCACACACAAGTTTATGTTAAAAACTCGCATAAGTTACAAAAACACAGTTGGTTATGTCTGTGAAGTTAAACAGCTGGGAACGAAATTGCATGTTTATATTAAATTGGTGTATTCGGTGACAGCAGTGTAATTAATATTCAGTACCTATACTGCTGTCTATGCTGTTAATAGGACCCAAACAATAAAATAAAAGCAGAAAATCACTCACTGCTCTGGACTGAATAACATCTTTAACTTTAATAAGAAGACATTTCTTACATGAATGCTGCTTTTAAATGCTCTAGCGTGAATACAGGTGCATCTCAATAAATTAGAATGTCGTGGAAAAGTTCATTTATTTCAGTAATTCAACTCAAATTGTGAAACTCGTGTATTAAATGCAGTCTTCCCTATGATTGTGTAGCCTAGTGAACCAAACTGAGAGACCATTTTGAAGGCTCAGGAAACCTTTGCCGGTGTTTTGAGTTGATTAGCTGATTGTCATGTCACCATATTCTAATTTGTTGGTGGGTTTTTGTTAAATGTGAGCCAAAATCATCACAATTAAAAGAACAAAAGACTTAAACTACTTCAGTCTGTGTGCATTGAATTTATTTAATACACAAGTTTCACAATTTGAGTTGAATTACTGAAATAAATGAACTTTTCCACGACATTCTAATTTATTGAGATGCACCTTTATAAACATGGTGGATTGTGTGCGGCTCACTCAGGGCGGTGTCTCAGCTAATAAGGCAGTGTCCGTCAACAGTTGTGGGTGGCAGAGATGGCAAAAGTACACACATCCTTCACTCAAGTAGAAGTACAGATACTCATATTTAAAAATACTCTGGTAAAAGTACTGACTACACTTTTCTTACTCAAGTTAAAGTAAAAAAGTATGGGCTCTGACATGTACTTAAGTAAAAAGTACCCATTACTACTACCATATTGACACATTAATACAAAATAACTTTTAACATTTTGTAAGCTAATGAATGTATCAAGGATGAACAACCACCAGACAGGGCAGGACTGGGACAAAATTTTAGGCCAGGAAATTTCACACTCATCCAGGCCATCCCATACACCCACAACAAATTCTGAAACCACAGACAACCCTATTTTTTGTATGGCCATCACATTAAAAAAAAATGGTTCAAACCTTAGGCTGGGTCCATGCAAAATAATTAAAGGTTCTCTCTTGAACTGCACCTTCACTTCCATTTTACTTTTTAGTCTCTTCACTTTCCATGATATCTCTCTACATCTCACTTGATGAGTCATATTTTTCTCTTACCAAAATTAACCATGGTTTATTACAGTAAAAGTATAGTAACCAAGTTTTTTTGGCGGATTGATTACAATCGGTTTTAATTTATAACCATAGTTTTACTAAAAATGCTTAACTAAATAAACAAAGACAAAACTACAGTAGCCTGTTTACAGATGAAACTGACCTGCATTTAAAGTCCTGAACAGGTCAGTAGTTTTGCCTCTCTGATCCATCCGGGCGCTTCCACTCCATTCTCGAATCACTTGCATTGATTACTCTGATAGAAACCTTTTGGCGGAGACGCGGAGCACACACGAGCCGAATCGCGTTGCCAGTAAACACTAACCGATTCATGATTTATTAGAGATTTCTTCATTCACCAAATTCAGATTAAAACTAAAGTAACGAGCCTGGTTTAAAAAATATAAGACGTAGAAAAGATATTTGTGTAAAAATGTAAGGAGTGAAAGTAAAAAGTAGTCAGAAAAATAAATAGTGAAGTAAAGTACTGATACCAGAAAAATCTACTATTTTGTAGTATTTGTACTTTCTTCCCTTCTCTGGTGGGTGGGGCTTGTAAAGTGTGATGTCACATTTGATGTATTCTGTGATTGTCTTGCTCTGAGACACTGCTTATGTTTTATGGGGATTTAAAAAAAAGGAGCGGATGGATTTTTATCACTATAGGGTGTTAGTGTACACACACTGCCATCACACATTTGTTCAAACAACATGTAAAAGTGAATTTTGCATAATAGGTGCCCTTTAAACATGCAGTTAACAAATTATTATATACCATCAAGAAATCAAGCAACCGTAACCATGTATGATTAAACCAAGCCAAATTATCACCAGAAGTGGCCCAGAGTCTGGGCAAGTTATGCAGAACATGAATCGGCCCAAGCTTTACCGCTGTAAAAAAAAACATGTTTCAGAACCAGCTGCCACACTTGGCATGGATAATACATGCCGATTCAGAGTCTGAGCTGCAGGCGCCATGGAACTGCTGAGCTCGAGCCAGTTCATGCTTAATATTTGATCTTCTCACCAATCGGAGGCCAAGAGTGTTTGAGCAATATGAGAGACTATAAGTGTTTTTTTTTTTTTTGCTTTGGTTTTAGTGGGAGGAGGGATGTTTCTTATTTCAGCTTTCCTCTTGTTGCCAAGTACTCAAACTGTGAGTGGTCAGTCCAGCAGGATGATGCTGCTGCTTCCACTGTTTTTATGGATACTGTTGGTATCCAATACCCTGGTTTCTACCCAAAGCCGGTGAGTTGAATTTTAAATATGCTGTTTAGCATGTATTCCAGTCTTCCTGTTTATCTGAATATTTAATATTTAATAAAGAGGTACAAACAGCAGCAGGTCAGACAAGGACAATCTTGAAACTTAATAATTGCTAGTCAATTTTACAAATAATTACAAAAAACATCATGTAACATTGAATTCAACAACATTTTTAGGTAGAAAGACAAAAATAGTATTTGTTTTGTGTGTGAAACATACTCCAATAATCTTAGTTTTATTTTCAAAAATCAATTTTTACAGTGTAAATTAAATCTATTCATCACGTGAAATTATAGTTTCTCTTCAGATAACTTGTATTAAAATACTCAAATATGGATTGCTTTTACTATGTTTTTATAAAAAGTTAAAAGTTCTGGGTGAATAGACTTTTCAATGGGGGTGCAGAAATCTCTAAGGGTTCATTCATATTTTATTTATTTATTGTTTTGAAGATGAACGAAAGTCTTATGGGTTTGGAATGACGTGAGGGTGAATAAATGACAGAAGTTTTATTTTTGGGTGAACTATTCCTTTAAACAAAATGTTAAGTATTTTGTCTGTGTTTACAGTGACAATCATGTCCTTGACTTGGCACCACAGTAAGTACACAACTTTCCAAAGTCCTCAGTGTACACAAACATAATTAAAGCAGCGTGAAGCAGGTGATCCAGTATGTTTTTACATTATGCAAAGCTGATAAAGAGTTTGTAGTGAAACTGCATGTACTGTATTATCTGTCAGGTTTATCATCCTAGTTCCAGCAAGACTGAGGCTTGGAACGAAATTGAACATCTTACTAGAGGCGCACAGCCTGTCCAAGCCAATCACTGTCAAAGTCATTGTCTATACATACCCGAGGAAATACGTCCTGACACAGGACTCTGCCATCCTCAATTCAGAAAACAGCTACAGTGCTCTCAAAACCATTGAGGTCGGGTCAGAGGACCGAGTGTATTTATTGTCTTTGTGTGTAGAAACTAGAAATGTGCCACAACATTTTACCTTTAACTTTTCTAACTTTAAAAAAAAAAATTTTTTTAAATCATGTAAAGCTTGTTGAGGTAAATAATTATCATATTGATATATCTGATTTTTTTTCTCTATAAGATCAATCCAAACCTGTTGCTTTTGGAGACAAAGAAGTATAAATTTGTTACACTGTTTGCTGAATTTGGGAGTTTTCATAAAGCTGAGAAAATTATCATGCTGTCATTCCGCTCTGGATATATCTTCATTCAAACCGATAAACCAGTTTACAACCCTGGAGACACAGGTCAGCTCTTACACTGGACTAAGCACTAAGTTAATGTTAAATTACAAGTCTGTATCACTGTTACTTCTCACCTTCTATCTCTGAATCTCTCAGTTCATTACAGGGCTTTTGTATCCAATCCTGAATTCCAAGCTTTCAACAGCACAATATCGCTTGAGATTCAGGTGACTGTCATTATCATTAAAATGAGCTTAATTTGATTTGATTTCATTCCATTACTTAATATCATTATTGATGCTTTTTATATATATACCTCCATGGAACAATCAGAACCCAGATGGTATTGTGATACATGGCAGAGCCAATGCCAGTGCAAGCAACGGGATCCTATCTGAAAGCTACACCCTCTATACTGTGGTCAAGTATGCAAATAGATTTGTGTTTTGCAACTGTCAACTAACTCTTATTAGAATATTAGTACACTGTCTGCTAAATATCTGCTGACACTTTATTTTGATGGTCTCCCAACAGACATATATACTGGCTATAAGTTACATTGCAAGTACATATCAACTTATTCTACTAATCCTAACCTAACAGTCTAGTTAAGAGAGTTAGTTGACATACAAATTTACATTCCCTTTCTTTAGCATTTATATTTGCCTCAATTCATTTTTGAGGTACCAGAAGCAGGGCTATGGTTCCCTGTATGTATCACAGCAATGTTGGTTAAGCAACTTCGAAATTGTGCTGCCTTCAAGTACGCTTAGGAAACTCGTACCTCCAAGTCAGACATTTGTTGTTACGACATGTCATGCATTCAAGTGGGAAACAACACAGAAGTAACAAAACAAGAATTATATTATGAATAAGAAACCCAAATAATGTGAATTTAAATTAGGTAATACATTGTATCAAAACTACAAAATTGTATTACATAAAGAAAATCGTGAAAGTCAAGTGACTAAGTTGATATTTTTTTTCAATCTGAGTAGTTCAAATATTTATTTAGATATGCAATCTGAAAAAAACTGACTTCATTCAATAAGTCTAAGTGGTCATAATAAATGAGACAAACAAGGGACTCCTGCACTATCACACACACAAAAACATTGAGGTAACGACATAATTGAAAATCAAGCACATGTAAACTTTTGAACAGGGTTATTTTTTATAACTTCAGATAATAATTTGTCTTGTGGACTAAAAGTAAACATTTGATGTGTGAAATAGGTAATTAATTTTCTTATTTGGCACTTTAGCTACTGTACACCAATTCTGGAACTAAAATGTTTGTTTTTATTTCCTAGAGAGGGAAGATGGAAAGTTGTGTCGAAGTTTGATAATGTTAAAGAAAACACATTCAGCGTCGTGTTTGATGTAAAGAAATACGGTAAGTTATTTATATTTTTCTGGGTGCAGACATTTACCTGCTGCCATGCATGGTTAGAATAATTCCATTTCTCCTTGTTCCCAAGTTCTCCCGCCATTCAATGTCACTTTAACCCCAAAGAAATCCTACTTAAGCCTAGATGAGGAAAAGTTGGAAGTAGAAGTCACAGCCAGGTGTGTCAATCAGAACTGCTTTCACTGTTACTCAAAACTCACCTAAATTACAACTATATTAAAATGGATGTTATATTAGCTATAAATGTAATTATTGGGCTTTTGTGTTGATATTTTCTGAAGTGAAACTGTGCAGTTGTTATAAAACTGCTATACAATTTTCAGTGATAGCAACAAATTGCCAGATGCAGACCTCTCACAATTAACTTTCTGTTTGACACATAGGGGCTTTGGCCCTGGCTAAAATCTCATTGGCCTATTCCTGGTAAATGTTTGTTTATGGAAAGCATCTGAGAGAGGGGCTCTGGCCAAACCCGCCAAAGTTAAATGAAACTGCTCTACAAAACAACGGCACACTGTAGCCCTGTGGCACCAGTCGCTTGGAGAAAATGTCTTCTATAAACATAATTATTGAAAGTGCATAATTCTCATATGCAGTGTAACTGTTTTTATAGCAACTCTATAATCATGATTCTTCTATATATTGTAAGCCTCCGGTAATGGACTGATGAGTACCATAATTCCCCATTGATTAAATAAATTAAGAATTACAAAAAAATGTTTGCATTACAAGTTTTCTGAAATGTTATGTTTAAATATGCAAATGAGGTATTATCTAATTAAATATGCACTAATTGTATCTAATTGAACATTAGATAAAGTCAGGTTCAAAATTCTTGTTTCATTTTGTAGAGTCAAAGGTTTTTACAGAGGAAATTTGGAATATCTATTTTTAATCACAAATCAGAAAATTTTTAATAAATCTGCAAAAATGTCAACAATTCTGTGTTTTTCTGTCAATATGGGGTGCTGTGTGTACATTAATGAGGAAAAAAAATTAACTTAAATGATTTTAGCAAATGGCTGCAATATAACAGAGTGAAAAATTTAAGGGGGTCTGAATACTTTCCGTACCCACTGTATCTATGAATAAAATGTATAAAATCAGGCAAATTATATATGAACAAACCCCTGTGTAAAAATCTTCTAAAAAGAAATGAAAGGTCATTTTCAGAAAACAGTCGTTAACAATATTTATTATTAGATATTTAAGTAAGAGACACAAAGTCACAAATAGATAAAATGCAATGAAATAAACACATAAAAGTTTACAGTATTTTGGATGTTTTCTTTTCACCAATTAGAAACAAGTTATGCCAAATAGCCCAAAATCTCAAAACTGACCAGTGCATAACAAAACAATGTTTTTGTCTGTGATTTGTCTTAAATTGCTTGAAAAGAAAGTAGTAAGTTTGAGGTCTTGAATCCACCTTTCAAGGATACAGAGTCATATTAGGCCTCTTAGGCCCCCCTCTTTTAAAAAAAATCATAGAATCACTACTGGTCTTCTGACAGCATGGTTTAACTAGTTTAACATGTAAATGATAAACATTCAAAACTTAAAAATATTATAGAATGAATCACTATGTGTCCTCTTCCCAGGTATCTTCATGGTGAACCAGTGAAAGGTGTTGCATTTGTGCTGTTTGGTATTGAAATAAATGGTGTGAAAATGAGAATAACATCTATGAAGCAACTGAACGATGTAAGTTAAAGAGAGTGAGAGGTGTGTGTAAGAAAGATAAGAAATGTATTTTCTATTAAAGATTTAACTGTTTATTTGCAGCTAAAAGGAAAAACTGTTAGTTTGACTATGGAGGAGATAAAGAAGGCCTATCCTGACACAAACAGCTTACTGGGGTCTTCTGTGTACGTCAAAGCATCAGTAATGACCAGCTCAGGTGGGAGATCATTACCCTTGAAATGAGACCACAATTATGTAATAAATATGTAGAAAACTAGCATGGTGATATTTTTATACCTCCAATATTTTAAATAAATTGCAAGCTTGCTTTGGCCAATCATAATTAATATAATTGTTAATAATCAATAATAATGTTATAATTCATAATTAGAAGTACAAATCAATAGCTTCTATTGTTTTGTTTTTTTAATGTTTAAAGGAACACTCCACTATTTTTGAAAATAGGCTCATTTTCCAACTCGTTCCTCCCATAGACAGCAAGGGAACTACCACGGTCAAGGCACAGAAAAGTACCAAGATGATCGACAAAGTAGTCCATGTGACATGTAACAGAATTTTCATTTTTGGGTGAACTATCCCTTTAAAGGAACACTCCACTATTTTTGAAGAGTTTCTATATTTTTCCTATTTAAAACTTGACTCTTCTGTAGTTACATCGTGTACTAAGACCGACGGAAACTGAAAAGTTGCGATTTTCTAGGCCGATATGGCTAGGAACTATGCTCTCATTCCGGCGTAATAATCAAGGAACTTTGCTGCCGTACCATGGGTGCAGCAGGCGCAATGATATTATGTAGCGCTTGAAAATAGGCTAACTTCCGTCAACATAACCAATGTGACCACCTGCTTGCACAGGGAGCGTGCTGGGGACTATTTTCAGGCGCTGCGCAATATCATTGCGCCTGCTGCACCCATGGTACGGCAGCAAAGTTCCTTGATTATTACGCCGGAATGAGAGTATAGTTCCTAGCCTAAGAAAATCACAACTTTTCATTTTCCGTTGGTCTTAGTACATGATGTAACTACAGAAGAGTCAAGTTTTAAATAGGAAAAATATCGAAACTCTTTGGTCATTTTTGAGCGAGATGCTAACGGTCTAATCAGATTCAATGATCTATGCTAAGCTACAGCTAAAAGTGCTACGCCAGACCCAGAGATCGGCTGAATGGATTCGGAAATGGTAAAACTGAAATGTTTAACTCTAGGGGAGTTGGAAAATGAGCCTATTTTCAAAAATAGTGGAGTGTTCCTTTAAAGACTTTCTTTTCCTCAGGTAGCGACCTTGTGGAAGCAGAGAAATCCGGCATTAAAATAGTAATTTCACCCTACGTGCTCTCCATCAGGGACACACCAAAGTATTTCAAACCTGGCCTGCCATTAGGCATAGTGGTAATTTTGAAACTGTCACATTTACTGCTTGATTGATGTTAGCATTATTCTTTCAGATTAATATTAGAGGCGAATCATTGTATTTTGTTGTTTAGGTTACAGTGAGTAACCAAGATGGATCTCCAGCCCCTAATATCCCTGTTGAAATCAACTTCCTTCAAAAATCAATCAACACACACAGCGGCACTATCAGGGTCTCCGTCAACATGCCTGATGAAGACAAGACACATATATTGAAGGTACATTGAACACAATAGAACTCATCAGAAGTTGAGTATTTAAGGTCCCTCTATGACTCCACAGTGGCATGTTGGACAGGATTAGAATACACTCTTAAAATAACGGTTCCAAAAGGGGGTTTTGCAGTGATGCCATTGAAAAACCATTTTTGGTTCCCCAAAGAACCTTTCAGTGAGCAGTTCTTAACCCTTGTTTTGAAACCCTATCACACTTGTGATGTTACAGTGCAAAAAGGACCCGGCCTTTTTTATTAAATATTAAATAAAAACTGATGAAAATTTGCACTGTTTATCACACTAGTGTGCTTTAATGTTTAATCAGGGAGTTTGTTTTGAAAGGCTTTTATTTTGTACAAAATGGCACAAAGTCACACTTGTGGTGTTCCTGGTAAAAATTATCCGGCCTCAAAAAATTGCTTATAAATCGCTCATTATGCTATATTATCACCAAATATTGGATTCAATCTTTTTGTCAACTTCTTTTCTTTCATTTAGGACTGGTTTTGTATTTATATTTCCTTCTGATTAATCGTAGGCCTCATTTATCTGAAAATAGGCACCTCATTTTTTGAGTGAAAAAAGCATTATTTATGAATAATTTTCACAATATTAAATATAAACTGATGAAAAATTGCACTGTTTATCACACTAGTGTGCTTTAATGTTTAATCAGGGAGTTTATTTTGAAAGGCTTTTATTTTGTACAAAATGGCACAAAGTCACACTTGTGGTGTTCCAGGGCAAAAATGACCCGGCCTCATTTTTTTGAGGCCGGGTCATTTTTGCCCTGGAACACCACAAGTGTGACTTTGTGCCATTTTGTACAAAATAAAAGCCTTTCAAAACAAACTCCCTGATTAAACATTGAAGCACACTATTGTGATAGTGCAAATTTTCTTCAGTTTTTATTTAATATTGTGAAAATTATTCATAAATAATGCTTTTTTCACTCAAAAAATGAGGTGCCTACTCTCAGATAAATGAGGTCTACGATTAATCAGAAGCAAATATAAATACAAAACCAGTCCTAAATGAAAGATAAGAAGTTGACAAAAAGATTTAATCCAATCTTTGTTGATAATATAGCATAATGAGTGATTTATAAGCTTTTTTTTGAGGCCGGGTCATTTTTGCCCTGGAACGTCACAAGTGTAACAAGGTGAAAAATCTCCCCCAGAAAAGTATGAAAATGATCAAAAAAATTTTTTGAAGTATTTATACCCTTTGTGAACAAAGTCACAAAATTTCAGTCCAATGCGATAACATTAACTAGTATTTTCGGGAAAAATAACATTTTCTCAGAACAAAAAGGACCCGAACACCACATGATGGTTTTAAAAGAACCATTTAATGCACCTCATAGAGCAAAGAGCATTTTAATAATCTAAAGAATCTTTCGTGGAATGGAAAGATTCCATGGATGTTACAGACAGAAGATTTGTCTAGGAAACATAGATGCCAATAAAGGGTGTATATGTGTGTCTTATTTTGGTAAATATGTCTGTACATTGGCAGGTAAAAACAGCTCTTCCTGGTGTGAATGCAGAAAAGCAAACTTTAGAGGAGATGCCTCTGGAGCCATATTTTGGTTTTGACGGCTACAGTAAGAACTACCTGCACATCTCAGTGGGCTCCAACAAAGTGGCAGTGGGCAACAGTCTTATCATCAAAGTGTACATTAAAACCGCCTCACCAGAACACAGAAAACTTGTGAAGCAGCTGACGTACACTGTGAGTGTTGGACATTTTGGGAAGAGTTAAACATGACTGGAATACAGTAGTCTTTAAATATACAGTGCTCTCTTTTCCTTATTTCTTCTGTTCTGACCTTTTTTCCTGTCTAGGTTTTGAACAAAGGGAAAATAATAACAGCTGCCAGGGTAGATGTAGGATGCCAGGATGTCACAAATATTCCTTTGCTGGTTACCACAGAGATGCTACCTTCATTCCGGCTGGTGGCGTACTATATGTTGCCATGGCAACTAATTGCAGAAGTGGTGGCAGACTCAGTGTTTGTGGATGTGGAGGACCAGTGTGTAGGCTCAGTAAGTATGTTCTGAACAACTACTATGGAGAATATATGTGGCCTACTCGTTATAGAGTGCATTAGTGCCCGCCCACTTTTTCAGCAGCATTGGTTCTGGTATCTGGTATCAGTATTTTTAGGGGCCAAGCCCTGAAGGGGTGTAGACTCTATTGTATCTGTCCGTTTTCTTAAGTCAATGGCAGCCCTATCAAGTTCAACCATACATAGGAAAATGATTAAATTTGGCACACTTATAGTGGTGGTCCCGAATAGTAATTTTACCAACTTTGGGGTCTCTAGAACCAACTCTATAGTGCCACCACCAGTTCAAAAATGTAGTTTACCTGATTACTCTCCTCATTCTGATCACATCCACTATCTTACATTAAGACTCCACCCATTAAAGTAGTGGTCATTTTGAACAGTACAGTATTTCATTTTTTCACTACTCCTCCTTCGAATTTTGTCACATAAAAATTGGATCAGATTATCACTGGACCTTGCCACATATAAATGACCGAACAGAATTTTGAAATTCATCTTTGTTCAGAAGTTATGATGACACAAACTTTACGATGCCGACCAAAATTTGGATCAGAGGCTGTTTCTCGGCAACACTTTGATCTGTTGAAATGAAATTCGGTATGATTATCAGCAGCATAATCTGAGGCTCCATGCCGAATTTGGGAACAGCACCACCTACAGGTCATGAGATCTGAAAAATTGCTATTTTTACTTATAACTTTTGACCATTTTGTCAGAAAATCATTGTCTATGGATCCCTTGGGTCATGCTAAATCCGTAGATATCGGTTTTGACAGGATCGGATGAACCTCCTGTCCGCTATATTGAAATTTGTCATAAATTGCAATATCTTTTAACCGTATGACGCATACGATCACACCAGTGTGATCACTCTAGGCTGGTCCCTGATGCATATATGATCACAATGTGATTAGAACGTTCAGTGCGTCACGCGATCAACTGCTAAATTCAAATCTGCTTTCACGCTTTGGCTGGCACTGAGCAAGAGACGGACGCACTGAGCATTTGGGATATATCACAACTGTTCAGTGTTTTCAACCAAATAATGTTTATTTTAGGTTTCAGATATTTAAATACACAAGTACTAGCAAAAATAAATTTCTAGATTGTAAAATACACATTGATGTCTATGAAAGACATTATTCCTGTAAGAATAATGATCCTTACAATATAATCTGACGACATGTTTTATTGATATCATATACACATTGTGTAGGAAACTATAAAGTTTAATCTACTCTTCTCCCAGTTCACCAGAAACGTACTTTAATATCATTCGGGAGGAGAGGATGAATTTACATGTTGTAAATTCCACAGCTCGGATTCAGCGCAAACTAACATGGTGGCGCCCATCACCCGTTATAGATCAACTAACATGGTCATTATGAAAGTGTTTAAACTACCAAATACATTTACTTACATGTATTTGAGAATTGGAATATCAGATTTTTCATAATACAGTTAACAAGTTTGTAAATATTTTGAATAAAAAAGGAAAAACGGAATAAAAGGGATACAGCTGTCATAAACAATAAGACGATCAATTCTAAAATATCGGTAACATAAAAAAAACTCACGCTGGAAGGTCAGCTAGAATATTTTTAAGTGAAAAAGGGTTAATGTGAAAGGGTTAAACAATCTGACGTGTTGGCAAAGAATTTGGTAGGTATCATCGACAGCATTTCCTGAAGGTACCTGAGAAATTTGAACACAGTGTCCCCTAGTGTCCCCCCCCCCCCCCTAGCTTTTGAAAACACTTTTACAAATTTTCTTTAGGTGGTCTCATTCCGTTCCTTGGTTTATGTCGATTCTGACAATATCTCATGTTTCATTTTCCATAATTTTGTTTCTCTGCTGTTTTTATTTTATTTTGTGGCTGTTTGGCTATGAAGGTAAACACAAATAATGTTACCAGTTAAGTTAGTTTAGCATCCTAATCATTAGCATGTTAGCTAATGCTTGTGTGTGTGTTCCTCCTCACACTGAAAGTTCTCTTCAGCATCAAGGTCCTGTCTGTGGCACAGTGTGATAAGCGTTGCACATTCGACCAGTATGTCTTAACTCTTCCTAACTCGTCTTAGTATGGGTGTCAGCCATGATTTGTCTTTCCAAAACAGAAATTTTGTATTAGTACAAGAAACCGTCCTTCATGGACAGTTTATACACCGATCAGGCATAACATTATGACCACCTTCCTAATATTGTGTTGGTCCCCCTCATACCTTGATAAAGGCTACTTGCCGAAACATTGGTTAATAAATAGCCCATGCTTAAGTGAGTGTACAGTTGTTCTCTTACAATTTGGTCCCCCTTTTGCTGCCAAAAAAGCCCTGACCCGTCGAGGCATGGACTCCACTAGACCCCTGAAGGTGTGCTGTGGTATCTGGCACCAAGATGTTAGCAGCAGATCCTTTAAGTCCTGTAAGTTGCGAGGTGGGGCCTCCATGGATCGGACTTGTTTGTTCAGCACATCCCACAAATGCTCGATTGGATTGAGATCTGGGGAATTTGGTGGCCAAGTCAACACCT